ATGTGTAGTTTAGTTTATATCACATCTTAGAACTTACCGTACACCAAATCATGTGTAGTTTAGTTTATATCACATCTTAGAACTTACCGTACACCAAATCATGTGTAGTTTAGTTTATATCACATCTTAGAACTTACCGTATACCAAATCATGTGTAGTGTAGTTTATATCACATATCAGTACTCACATTACACCAATCTATCTGCACTGATGTTCTATCAGATCTTAGTGATTATATTACACCAAATCCTGTGTAAATGTAGTTTATATTACATCGTAGTAGTCATATTACACCAAGTTATAAGATGTGATATAAACTAAACTACACATGATTTGGCGTAATGTAAGTTCTAAGATGTGATATAAACCAAACTACACATGATTTGGTGTAATGTAAGTTCTAAGATGTGATATAAACCAAACTACACACGATTTGGTGTAATGTAAGTTCTAAGATGTGATATAAACTAAACTACACATGATTTGGTGTAATGTAGGTTCTAAGATGTGATATAAACCAAACTACACATGATTTGGTGTAATGTAAGTTCTAAGATGTGATATAAACTAAACTACACATGATTTGGTGTAATGTAAGTTCTAAGATGTGATATAAACTAAACTACACATGATTTGGTGTAATGTAAGTTCTAAAATGTTATGTAAAAAGTAGTAAATGAGCTGGCACTTCCGTTTTCATTGTACATAAAATGCTAATGACGTTAGAGAAGCGATGTTGTTTTCACTGCCTTATCTTTGAGATCAGAAGTTGTCTACAATGTTCTCATGGTCCATCAGAAAATGGGACAACATTCAGATATACATGGTTTCCAACGTGAAGGAAATGAAGAATGTCCTCTCTCTCTCTCCATAACGATTATGCCATAGTGATGGCATAATATACACAAACATAGCTAAGTAGATTATACGCTCGCTCTCCGTAAATACCACGTATACAAACATTCCATTCAGGATTCTTTTTCAGGGAACAACAACAATATCCTCTTTCTGGACCGTAACACTTGATTTTATATGACGGCTGTGTGTCTGGCGTGTTTGCAGGAGACGTGGTTCATTAAATGATAATTACATTAGCTGCGTTAATACCAGTGCATACCATTCTAATCAAGCCATAGTTAGCTAATTAATTACTCTGTTTTGGAATCTGGAACACAATTGTTCCTTTGCTTGGGCAATAAAAGCCAGATTACTCTGGTTCTCAAACCCTAACGTAATTGCCGCAATTCTCGAAATTACTCGATCTAACCATTCTGTGCACAAGAACTATGTATTTTTTTTAATACAGGCTGATTAAAGAGGGTGTGAGAAAGAGTTTAAACACGTGCGTGTGGAACTAATACGAAAGGGGGAGCTCTAATCTGACAAGTGGATATCGAATCTAACGAGCAACTTTTATTCTAATGCTGGCATCTGGAATTCCAGAATTTCAAGAAAGCATTCTTTACATTACACTATTACTTTACACTACAGAAGTGACATCTCACTCGAAAATAAATATTTACTTTTGTAACAAACTTAACATAAGTTTCGTTTCTTTAAAGATGGAATTTCGGAATTTCTACAGAAACCAACAAAAGCCTAGTAAATAAATATGTGTCCGCAAAACTACTATATAAAGCAAAGTTTGTGTCAAGGGGAAAAAATACACAGCCGTATATCTATAATTTCATATCTGTTCCTTATATGTTTCCACATTTCTTGATCAATCAGGACCGAACTTGACACAGGATGACACGAGAAAGGTCATGAAGGGAGTGGGAGTTGGACCCCCATCTTCTATATAAATTGTTTGTTTTCGAATTTCGCGCAAAGCTACACGAGGGCTATCTGCGCTAGCTGTCCCTAATTTATCAGTGTAAGACAAGAGGGAAGGCAGCTAGTCATCACCACCCACCGCCAACTCTTGAGCTACTCTTTTACCAACGAATAGTGAGATTGACCGTCACATTATAACGCCCCCACGGTTGAAAGGGCGAGTATGTTTGGTGTGACGGGGATTCGAACCCGCGACCCGCAGATTGTGAGCCGAGCGCCCTAACCACCTGGCCATGCCAAGCCTCTATATAAATAAAGGTCAATATATGTGTGTATCTGTTCCTTATACGTTTCTTGATCAATCAGCACCAAACTTGACACAGTGATAAAGGATGACTTGAGGATAGTCATGAGGGGGATGGACCCCCATCTATTTCGGGAAAAAATTATCAAATTAGCACAACTTGACACAGTGATACAGGATGACATAGGGAAAGTCGTGATAGAGGGGGTTGGACCCTATCTAATTTCATATCGACAAAATTCTTGAAAACGGTATGTCTTTCTTTTCGGTATCGGTACCTTTATGTATTTTGTATTGCATTTTAATGTTTATTATATTAAGTAAAAAACAAAAGCACCATTTCCTATCCTTTGTTACAATTGAGTTTTCATTCCAGCCGTCCAACAGACTGGTACTCCACCCAATATTATATAAAATATTAATTTTGGACTCAATGGATTATAAACTTCGCTTAACTTTATAAAGTAAAATATTTTATGAAACAAATTGACGTAATGATGATAAACTATCATTAAGTACACATCAAAAATTATTTTCCTTTCTTAAATTTACGTTATTTATAGATGGCGCGAGAAACGTGTTAAACAGGTGCACGTGGAACCCCAGGTGATAACTTTAAGCTGTTACCTACAGTTATTTAAGCACAAAAGACAAGGACACTGACAATTACTTTAAGATTGTTTTAGGACACTGACAATTACTTTAAGATTGGTAATTGGAAGTGTCCTAAAACAATCTTAAAGTAATTGGCAGTGTCCTAAAACATTCTTAAAGTAATTGGCAGTGTGCTAAAAATTAAGAATGTTTTAGGACACTGCCAATTACTTTAAGATTGTTTTAGGACACTGCCAATTACTTTAAGAATATTTTGGGACACTGCCAATTACTTTAAGAATGTTTTAGAACACTGCCAATTACTTTAAGATTGTTTTAGGACACTGCCAATTACTTTAAGAATATTTTAGGACACTGCCAATTACTTTAAGAATATTTTGGCAGTGAAAAGATGCAGAACATCACTCACGCACAGCAGCTACCTCGTAGTTTTTTATATTGATGATGATTTGAACTCCAAGCTAAAGCAAGACCAAAAGATCCGAAACGTCGTCAGTACCAAAAGTTCCCTGGGATTCGAAACGTCGTCAGTATCATAAGTTCCCCATGGATCCGAAACGTCGTCAATATCAAAAGCTCCCCAGCGATCCGATACGCTGTCAGTATCAGGAGTTCCCTGCAGGAACATGCTGTCTGTAAATAACGTTTCGTCCTCCCCCCCTCCCGTGGCTCAGTGATAAATCTCAAGACTTATAACACTTCGAGGTGGCGATGGGTGGTGTCGATTATCTGCTTTCCTTCTACTCTGTCACTTCAAAATTATGGACTGCTAGCACAGATAGCGCTCGAGCAGCTTTTATCGAAATTCAACAACAAACAAACAAACCAAAGGATTCCTGAGAAGACTCTTAAACTAAGGGGGGCGGGGGGATTTAAGATACTTTCATAGAAACTAAGAGTCGAGTGACACTTTCGAAAAAAAAAAACTATTAATGAGGTTTGAGGACGTTTCATGTTTCTTTGACTCTGTTCTGCAGTGTTTTGTAACAGAAATATGTATTGAAACGTATTAAGAACTTAGTCCTAAGGCTATTTTCTCAAATACGTGCACAGTCAAGCGCCTTTCGCATTAATATTGTTTTATTTTCAATATTAAATGTACCTAACATATGCTGGAAAAAGTTATATTTGAAGTACTTTAAAATTAAGGGTGGAAATAAATAAAATGTATTTCCCTAGAGTACCTAAAGAAACTCCCACCTCTCAGGTTTCCCTAGAGTACCTAAAGAAACTCCCACCTCTCAGGTTTCCCTAGAGTACCTAAAGAAACTCCCACCTCTCAGGTTTCCCTAGAGTACCTAAAGAAACTCCCATCTCTCAGGTTTCTCTAGAGTACCTAAAGAAACTCCCACCTAAAGAAACTCCCACCTCTCAGGTTTCCCTAGAGTACCTAAAGAAAGTCCCACCTCTCAGGTTTCCCTGGAGTACCTAAAGAAACTCCCACCTCTCAGGTTTCCCTGGAGTACCTAAAGAAAGTCCCACCTCTCAGGTTTCCCTGGAGTACCTAAAGAAAGTCCCAC